ACAGGGCTCTGGCCCTCCAGGACTGGAGTTTGACATCCCTGTTCTATCTCAATCTCAGGTTTTTCTCGCTTCCACCACCACAGAGCTGGTGCTCGGCTCGTTCTCACTTGGTGCCTGTTGAGAACCAGCCTGACTCCACTGGTTTCAGGAACAGAACAAATGTTATATCGGGGAAGTGACTGTTACTCTGTGCAATAGTGCTTAACTCAACCATGCCGTCCATCTCATCTCTTCACCACTCAAACATACTTTATTTGACCTGCAAATTTATACTTTATTAAATCTGTTCAGTGGATCGATCTTTCATTTTTCGCAGAATGAAAAAACGATGAATCCTTATTCTACTAATAAGCTGGCAAGTTGTTCCACTGCCAACACCGATGATTTTAGACTAATCTATCAGTTATGGATTGAATTTTCCATGCAAGCGTTTGGTTTGGACATGATAGTCCGTCCCACTTTCGCTGACGTTAAGGTACCAAATTCTGAGCCCAGGTTTTCTGCGGTGCCGTGCTGGAGCCATTTTTTCTGGCACAGGGCCATTTTTTTGCGGCAGAATCAAAACATGTTGAACCAGTGCCGGAGTGGGGAAAAGTCCAGCACCAGCCCGCATTGGTGGAAACGAGGCAGGTGTGAAGGACTCCTGAGGCATTGCCATATGTGACTAATTAGCAGTGTAGTGGCAACACTTGCAACTGTCTGCCAGCTGTTTATGCATAGCAGGTCTTTTGAGTAACTCATAGGCGCTTGTGAGTGTCCTGCCCTTTAATGACTTCCCAGTTCAGTGACGTTCATGTCTCTGGTGACTCTTCCTATGGAGTCAGTAGACCAATTGGGAGAACATGGGGGGTCATGAGGTCACTGGAATGTGGTGTGTGGCTCCCGATATCTTTGCAAGAGGACGAAGGTCCAAGTCTTTAGAGTCCTGGTGCTCCCTGTCTTGTTTTATGTCTGTGAGACATGGACACTATCCAGTGAGCTGAGATGAAGACTGGAGCCCTTCGGTACTGTGTCTCTTCAGAGAATCCTTGGGTACCGCTGGTTTGACTTTGCGCTAGAGGAGTCCTGAATTAGGCACATTACCTGCATTCTGAGGGAGCATCAGTTATGGTACTATGGCCATCTGGCACATTGCCCTGAGGGTGATTCGGATCTCAGGATCCTCATTGCTACGGACATGAGTGGCTGGACCAGGTCTAGGGGACACCCATGTAACACCTGGCTGCTGCAGATGGACGGTCATTTCCGGAGTGTGGGACTGGACCGTGTGTCTCCCTGTAGTGGGTGTGTCCAAGGATCTTTTATGACCTGAGGGAGTCAACACCCTCGGTACCAATTTTTACAGCACAGTGTCCTTGCCATTACATTGGGATCCACACAAATCACTGCATGGACTAATCTGTTGGTCACACCAGCACCTCTTCCAGCATATTAAAAAATAGCTATTCGCCTTAAAATACCCAGTTCTACTGTTAGAGCAAAAAAAAAGTGGACAACAGCTGGAACTATTACAAACCTGCCTGGAAGGGGACCCAAGTTTATTTCCCCCCACGTACAGTGAGGAGGATCATAACAGAGGCAAAAAAAATCCCCAAGGATGACTGTTGGTGAATTACAAGACCAAGTAAAATCTTGGGGTTACCACATCTCTGGAAAAACTATTAGACACCCCCTTCAAGCTAACAGATTATTTGGAAGGTATGCCAGAAAAAGCTTTTTTTTGTCAGTTAACCACAAACATAAGCACCTGGACTTTGCGAAACACTACTACAACTTTCACTGGAACCAATTCAATGGTCTGATGAAACAAAAATGGAGCTTTTTGGCAATTGAAGTTTTTGCGCATTAATCAGTTTGCTGTTGGCTGAGTAAAGACACATTTCTATTTGTGATGCTAAGGGTGTCTCATTACATTGTTTCAGGTTTGAAGTTGTGCAAAGTTGTTTCTAAGAAAATGTTTTTTTTTTCACGCTACTGAAATAATGGATTTGGGGAGATAGGTATTTTGCATGACGATAGGTCCCACATGTTAGCCACATGCTGTCGTGTCAAGAAGTCAAAATGATTTAAGCCAAAAAACACCACTAAAATGTCTCTGTATGTGTGCTGTGGGGGATTACAGCATGAGAGCACCAAACTGATAACTGCTGGGAAAAAAGTAACTGTTGGTAGAAAAATGTATTTCAGTCGTTAGAGCCCAAGCAGTGTTTGATTAACCCTGCATGGTGAGGATTGCATACTGACGAATCAGAACAGGCCTGGGGGGTGCAGATGATGTCAGCATGCTATAAAACAGTCTCCTAGCTGCACAGTCAGTATGGTGTGCTTTGCTACCAGCTTCAGGACAATGGCAGTGAATGGGGGTGTGTTAGTGCTGCTTCTTTTATTAGGTTACAGCTGTGAAGCTCAACAGAAGATTGGGTTTCCAGCAAAGACTGCCCAGCTACTAGCTGGCTATCTGGCTAAGCAAGGGGCTCCGCAGGTGGCTGGCTTCCAGAGCGGACTAGGGGCTCCGCAGGCGGCGGGCTTCCAGAGCGGACTAGGGGCTCCGCAGGTGGCGGGCTTCCAGAGCGGGCTCGGGGCTCCGCAGTCGGCGGGCTTCCAGAGCGGGCTCGGGGCTCCGCAGTCGGCGGGCTTCCAGAGCGGACTAGGGGCTCCGCAGGCGGCGGGCTTCCAGAGCGGACTAGGGGCTCCGCAGGCGGCCGGTTTCCAGAGCGGGCTCGGGGCTCCGCAGGCGGCCGGCTTCCAGAGCGGGCTCGGGGCTCCGCAGGCGGCCGGCTTCCAGAGCGGGCTCGGGGCTCC